TACGATTTACCTATTGTCGTAATGTGAATTTATTTCAATGCCTCAGGTCTGTTTATTCCACTTATGTTTAACGAGAGTTTAACGTTTTACTAATGATGTACCCTTTGTTAACAATCGATGAATATCATAATTATGTTAATATCGCCCCATTACGAGATTCATGATGTGCTCGTAACCATTTAGCTCACGTTCTTACCAGAGAGATGCTTGTGTAACACCTCTCTGATTCTTACTGATTGTATTCTCGTTTCTGAAAACAATAGGTGTCATTAGTTGAAGTGCGTACAGTAATAATAATAGCGAATAAAGTTGGTAAATTGCCTAAAAAAAATCAGGTCACCTAGCTATTAATATGTAAAAATCAAACCGGAAATTTACAATATCCGAATTAACCAGGCATGTTTTTTTTTTTCTTAAAATTTCCTTCCTAAGAAATTGTATTTGTTTATACGTATTTCGTATGTACAGTTAACTATCAATCTGTATCATGGAGTGTATTCAAATGGCATTAAATCACCTAAACTACTTTAAGCCAAGCCTGTATGTAATATATTTTGTTTTTTTAAATTCACGTACAGTGTATGTACTGTACTATCTCAAAAAGAAGCCTATGCTATCTTCAAAGAGGCCCGTGGGCCTCTACTCGAGATGGGATTCTTTTCGAGGCTAATTTTGCAAACTAAAGGGGTGGGGCCTTCAATTCGAGATGGGCTTTATCTCGAGATTATGCCCACTGGGTTCAATTCGAGGTTTTACGGTAGAAGTGTAAATACCGTAACAGAACAGGAGGGTACCATTTTCAATATATTCCAAAATATGTAATAGCGATCATAAAAGCATAACTACAGAGGTGTCACACTATATCACGGAGGTATTTTTATACCTCCATGACTATATGTACGAGATTTTTACGTGTATGTTACTATACCGTATGTCCGTATTCACTATACGATCTGAAATTTAGGGTACTTTAAAGTTAGATTGAAAGCATAGAATCGCGTTCGGGTTCGGCTGGGACGACAAAGCAATTTTCTCAAAACGTTTGATAGAGTTTTACGACATCTTTTCATTTGCATGGTATATTTATATTCTTGGCAACATATTTAATAGGCCTAGTAAATTTAATTCCAATGTCCAACAAGTTCGATTTTGTGAAATGGTTACACATTTTATGACAGATGTAGGTGTTTATTAACAAGGTTGTTTATGTCAGCATCTGGAGCGGTGCTGTGGGGTGATTAAATGCTTGCCTTCCATGTTCGATTCCTAAACAAGGGTAACAGGATCTTTTCTCACGAAAAACAAAAACAAAAAAACAACTCCATTCCCTAAAGTAAGATGTAGCGCATCTTGTTTTGTATGTCTGTCTTGTCGCAGATTAAAGTGGTTAAGTTATTATTGGCATATCATTGACGTTAAAAATACTAAGCTACCTTAGGCATTGAGAGTGAAGATGTAGGTGGATAACCTTATCTGACGATGTTGTTTTTTAAATTTCTTTTCATAATTGCAATCCAGTTTCCACTCTGTCCCACTTGAAACGACATAAGTGTATAATCACTCAGATCGCAAGACAATACCTTATTGTGATCATGATGACTTTAGATTTTATAAAAATGAAAATAGGCCAACAGTATCTTGTGGTTAAACATCGCTCTTTCATCAGTGACTATAGTACAGTAGCTCTAAATCGCCCACAGTGTCCTGACTACAATAAACTGTGACATATTCAAACTACAGACGGAAAAAATAAAACTTAAAGCGCATGGGAAACACCATCAATGTTTTTGTCATATAAGCTGCGGTAAGACATAGAAACATACACTCGATGAATTTGCAATTATTATACCTTGACTTATTCAATGATTCAAAAAAATGTACAATAATAATGAATACCTCTCTATTATTTAAAATATGTATTTAAAAAAAATTTAAAAAAAACTCCGGTCCCGGCATAGCAAAGCAGATCGGATGAAAAATGATACGAGAGGCTGTTATGTGGTGAAAAGCAACGAGGACTTAACATCTTGTTGTAGAAGGTTTTATGAAATAGGATCAGAATTTATTATTTTAGGGATAAAATCACTGAAGACTACAACAATAAGGATGGTGGTGATAATGCTCCAATGAATCATGATACTTACTAATCATAATTCAGGCCCTACAACTAAAAGTTAAAGGAAATGAGATAACACGCTCCATTGGATTCGTTCCGGTATCGTTCATTCACAGATATGCTACCTATAATTTTGAGCGTCGTCCTGTACCAATCCACATCATGCCATGATGAACCTTTGATATGTACTTTTGCTAGGCTACAAATAAGCTATGCCAACTATACATTATTATAGCACTGGGCTGCATCTGGCTAAGGTTAGTTAGAAGTGAATCGTCACAAACAGAACACAATGTGTACTGCCAGTTATTTAGTAAGTAGCCCATAGTTGGATATTGGTCCATAATTTTACTTATCATTGTCCCACTCCCACACGTGTCTGAATGTAGGATGATCCCGCATTATGCTTGTTACCTCCATGTAGGCCTAATGAGGTAATAGCATAGCCCTACACTGATGTTTTGTCTGTCTGCCTTTTCTGTCTGTTTAAAGTAGGATTACGCAAAAAAAAAATAATAATAATTAATATCATAATTTCAGTAGATTTGTAAATATTGATAAGAATAATGGATTAAAGTTTTGAGTGAAAAGGTCAAAGGAGAAGTTAAGGTCCTTGAAACTTATCCCTCGAGTAAAAAAAAATGGAATCGTTCAAATTAAACGCCCTGCGTGCATTAATATTCAGGCACGTGGGTGGGTGGAGGGGAGGTATTATTATATATGAAGTGACTGCACTTTTAGAATTTTAGTATTTATTTACATTTTATTCTTTGTGTGATAGCTGTCTGTGATGATATAGGCCTACATATCTTAGAAATGTCTTTACCGGCTGGGGACGCCGTTAAATAATAGCTTTTGCGCGATACACTTTTTGAACAGCCAAAAGTAAGTTTTAGTTCACACTCGAGCAACGCAAACGCAAGTAAGTAAATTGCTTTGATGTGAACCAAGCTTTAGTACCAGGTTACCAGCATCGGAATCGAACTTACGAGCCGGTGGGAAATCCTAACTTCCCACTAACCGACGTCGCTTCCACACCCAATGCACCCATGGAGTTGATTTTCATTTTAGGCAGTACGTATGTAGTTCTTCCCCCTGTTAAACTTCCTTATATAATTCATCTCAACAACTTCCTCGTCAAAATATTTTTGCCTAGACAAATTATTTCCTGACTATAAGATGCGCTTATTGTTGTCCTCAACTTTCACATAAATTTCATGGGATTAGTCATAGCTAATTTGCATACAAGTACGAGCAAAATTTATACAATTTGAAAGTAACAACACTCCCTACGGCCATGATTTACAAAAACATACATTAATGAATTATTCGAAGTGATAAATCCACGTCTTGCGTCATCGAAGCTCAATGTGAGATGTTAATTGTTCAATAATAGATAGGCCTACAAAATAATAACTAGGTAAGGTAGGCCTAAACACCGGTTTAAAATAGGATTTGTAGTTCTAAAGTATGGCGTTTGTGTTGTACGAGGTTGGGGTTCCAGTCCTGCGCTCACATAATTCTAAGTTTGATGAATCAACGCAACACAGTGGTAGTCCCACTTTGCAAGTCGTACTTAACATTTATCTCACATTGGAATCCATGTTTTAGATACGGTACCTAAAGATAGGCCTATAGGCCCTACTCATTACCCAGTATATAATTTGATTTGATAACAATAACATGTAAGGTTGTACAAACAATGGCTAGGCCTAGACGTAGGACTAATGATAATTTAATGTTTACTGGAACGGCTAAACTGAGAAAAAAATAGGTGTGTGTACAAATAATGCAATAATAGCATCGTGGATTAACATAAATTTACTGATATTACGTCTTACATTTATAGCGGAAATGTATGTAATTTCTGGAGTGATACGCGCGTATTATGGCACTAAGACATTAACCTCGGATTCTACTTAATCCAATGTCTTCGTTATAAAGAACTTCAGAATAATGCATATTTCTTGAGCGAGAGCAGCGTCATTCTCAACCGCTGTAATTTATCAACCTGTCATGTTTTAATGATGTTAATTGCAAATTGTCATATATTATTTAACTCACGACCGAATACAGTCTACTTCTTTAAAAATATGCATAACTTTCTTAAAATGTTATGACGTCAGAATACAAATGCTGAATGACTAACATGACTGTATAGAACCTACCCACCGCTCCTCGTGGATAACTCAATCCAATTGGCGTCCGCCAGGAAGTTTCCGCAAGGTATATAAGATGACATAGCTTCAACTGCCGTCCAACAACAACATTGTCACCGTTATTCATAATTGTCGTAACCGTTGATTTCACAGAGAAACTTGGAAGTAGCTTACTAAGAGAATAAGAATAAAATAGTTGTTTGAAAACAGGAGGATATGATGAAGCTTAGCGTGTTAACATCAACCGTCTGGTGTGTTTTTTCGATGGTATTCTGTCAACTGCAGGCAATTAACCATGGTGAAGGTAAGCCTACCGATTTTACTAATAAAACAAGTTTTCTAATTTAGCCAACATAATTAATTTAGAGTTGCAACCAATTTACTACGGTATACAGTAAGTCTAGTAATGACCACTAAATTATGGATAATCTCGACACAATTAGAGGCTATAATATACCAACGGATATCAATGAATACATCCAACTATTATTATTAATAGGCCCTATAGACTTCTGAAATAAAACAAATATTTGTGTAATAAGGTTGTCGCGTTATGGGTAATGCTCAGTGTTAAGGAACGTTTTTGATAACAGAACGAGTCTCAGTTTCTGCTGATATGTTTTAAGTTTTAGGCCTCCTCTTGAAAGACAAAACAAAAAATAAAATGTATACACTCCCGCCCCTGCCAAAGCCAAGTATATCTATACCATTGTCTCTTCTCACTCTCCTGTCGATCTATCATTGTGACTGCGAATTGTTCTCATTGTTCGCGTCGCGTTCTTGATTTGTGATCCCGGACGAATAGATATTGTAAATTTTTGAATTGTTTTGCCTGCATAAATCGAGTTGATATATAGATCAACGCGTTTCTTGTAACCATTTTATTCGTACTACTATTTTTATCATGGTATGTATAACACAAATATTGTCTGTGGCGGATGCAGGATTTGGCGGTAGGGGTTGCGTGAGGGTCCACCTCACTGCCACCACCATGGTTGGGTCTGAGGGAATAGAACATTTTTAGAATAGGGGCCTCTTAGGCGCGGATCCAGAGTTTTAGCTCGGTTTCCATAGAATCGCTCGCCCTATCGGCGACAGTCGTGGTTTACAGACGAATCGGGGTGCCTTCCCGATTGCTAAAGGCACCTAGCAATGCACCCTGATTCGTCTGCGTCTGCAACACAATCGGAAAAGTTGAACCAGGTTCAACCTTCCCGACAACTGTCGGCGACTGTCGCCGATAAGGTGAGTGATTCTATGGAAACCGAGCTTTACCCTGACTATCGCACATATGGGGTCCCTGAGTAATGTTTGCTTGTTCCGTCGCTTTTATTCCGGGACTTCTATTGATGAATGAATACATACTGAATTCATAATTTTCCCCCATTTTACCATGGACAATTAATAAATTGCGATGATGAAGATGATGATGGTGTGATGATGATAAGGAAGAGAAGGAGGCATCGTATCAGGTGACGACAGGCTCCTGTGCAAGGTTAATAACAGCACTTTGATATGAATGTCAACAGAGGCACACATTTTCCAATGCACACAATCGGACAACAGCAATTATCTACAATTTATATAATCGGTACTTTCTCTACTGTTATGAAAATATCATATATCTAAAAAAAATACGTTATATGCAGGCTCGGAAGCGGAAAGTTTAACCTAAAATTGTGATATATGTTTCATGTTGTTTGTTGAATGGTCTTTAATTATTCTAATATGACCACAACATAAAGGAGAACACTTTGTCACCTACAAAGTTCAGACCCATATACATTTATATTTCCTTAGGTCTAAATCATAACAAAGTCCGCTCTATATCCATTTTCAGGAAATTATACATTTTATGCATGCACCGACGTAGGAATTTTGTTTTATGTTGTTTGTTGAATGGTCTTCTTTAAAATATTACAGTCTAATATGACCACAACATAAGGAAGTCCATACCGTAATTGTTAATAATAGTTAATAGATAGTACAGAGAATTATCACAATCCTCATACACATGTTAAATCCAATTTTGTTAAAAAAGTAAATAAAAAATTACGTTTTCTGTGCACGCGCCGACGTGGAATGATTAACCTTATAATTTTGTTAATAATGCGGTTCTAGAATTTTATTTACATAACGAATTGAGCCGTATGTTGCTTTTATACTGAAAACTTCTCATTCAGACTCTTTTTAAATTTTTTATTTTATTTACATAATGAATTCAGCCGTATGTTGCTTTCATACATAAAATATGGTGTTTTTGATTTTATAAATAAAATTAAATCAACAAAGTTTTTTAACTTGTTATTTATTTCTATGCATTACTGACGCGAAAAGCCGGGGATGGGTGGGTTTATTATTGTCAAGTTCCTATATTTGTGGTTGTTCTGTCAAATGGAAAACAAAATAGTGTTAGATGAATACGGTATGATCCAACCTGGGTTTAAATTAACTTAAAATTTATCGGCGACAAAAATATGTCGGCGACAGTCGCCGACAAGGTGAGCGATTCTATGGAAATCGAGCTTTACCCTGACAATCGCACATATGGGGTCCCTGAGTGGGCGGGGTCATAGTAAGAGAACGTAATTCTTGCTTGTTCCGTCCCTGAAGACTATTTTAGACCATGGGGCTGGGGGAGAGGTTGTTTGTGGTAGTTCTAGGGTTCTCCTAGCTTCGGAAAGTTTTGTGTTCTAGATGCTGAGAAATGCACTTAACGTGCATTACGAGATTCTATTGATGAATGAATACTCACTGAATTCATACTCACTGAATTCATAGTTTTCCCCCATTTTACCATGGACAAAATAATTGATGATGTGATGATGATAAGGAGGATAAGGAGGCATCGTAGCAGGTGACGACAGGCTCCTGTGCAAGGTTAATTAACAGAGGCACACATTTTCCAATGCACACAATCGGACAACAGTAATTATCTACAATTTATTTAATCAGTAAATGCTAAATCCAATTTCAATAAAAAAAAAAAAAAAAAAAAAACGTTTCCAGTGCACGCGCCGACGTGGAATGATTAACCTAATAATCTTGTTAATAATGCGGTTCTAAAATTAATCTTTAAAAAAAATAATAATAACGCATTTGTACCGCCACCAGTTGGAAAAGCAATTAATTATGCATAAATGTCTTCTGTGATTGGTTGATTGCCAACATTTCAATACTTAGTGGGTGGGCGGTCGGATATAATGCGTAGGCCTAAAGGATAACGATAACGATATAAAAGCTAAAAAGCAATTGTTCATATAGAAAATAAAAGAAATAAGAGAAGTTTTTACACTAGAACGATTCGATAACGATTTATCAGTTATGCGATAACAACATATTTTGACAAATCAAATCAGATGACGTCATAATCATGGGAAAACATTAAAGTCGTCGTAGTAGCAACGATTTTATCGTTTGTCCATGATTATGACGTCATCTGATTTGATTTGTTAAAATATTTTGTTATTGCATACACGATAAATCGTTATAGAATCGTCCTAGTGTAAAAACTTCTCTTATTTCTTTTGTTTTCTATATGAACAATCGCTTTTTAGCATTTTTATCGTTATTGTTATCGTTGAAGTGTAAACAGGCCTTAACTCTCATAATTTCATATTTTAAAAAATAGTGTATATGATCACGTCCCATGATAGATTACATCCACAGGGTGCCCCTAAGCCAAAATTTCAAAATTGAAGAAATTGCGTTTTTCCGAATCACGACAGATAAGATTGAGTAGATTAGGCCTACTGGTTAAAATGTAAAAATTTTAAATTTTATTTTAAATCACAGAAAATCACAAATTTATACTCAGTACATTCTCGACTGTCTTGGAAATGTGGACCTTATCAAATTTGGTTGGGTGCGTTATACACACTCTTAGTAACACCCCACCTACTGGACGGGCCTTGAAACTTTACATTTTACTTGCCAATTAATGCAGTATTATATGCTTATCAGATATCTTCTAAATTTCTCAGTATTTAAAAAAAAATTCTTTTTCTATTTCCAACGCTGTTTGATTTGAAATTTACATACCATTCACGTCGTTGCTCTTTTTTCCGTGTTCGTTTTCAGTCTCTCAGTGCTCGGTGGTCATTTTGACTTTCTTTTTAGAAGTACCGTACTGTATCAAAGTGTGTTCGTAAGTTTTAAGCTCTAGGTCTACAATTAGGCTACCAACTCCATTAAAGACTTGGTTTTTGTTTTGTTTTGTTTTTTTGGTTTTTTTTCGAATGCTATTCGTTAAAATAATGAAGTAATAATTAATTAATCAAAAAGTAATAATTAAAATAATTTTATTTAAAAAAGATTATTTTGTCGATATATTTTTGACTTTAATTTAGGTAGGTGGCATTTCTGACAGAAAGAGTTGGAATTCGCCAGACCACCAGGCACTGCTATCACTTTATATCGGTGCGAAGAGGTCTGGATCCGCTCCTGCCTCTAGGTGCCCGGATTTGCACTGTCATACCTTACAAAAATACAATACAACAATTATTTTTCTTAATAACTTTTAGGGGGGTGCGACCGCACCGTCTGCACCCCTCTGCATCCGCCCCAGATTGTATGTCATTTTGTATGTACAATATCTTTATTTGTTTTTTGTTGTTGTTAACCTTTCGCCCCAACATTGTGGTGTCTTTTGTTGTGAATTATTTTACATTTTAGATAATCATAATAATAACGGTGATTTAACGATGATGTTATAATTACCACGCAACTACACCAAATAAAGAAAATGAAACAAATTATATTTTTATACAAATTTATCCGAGTGTTCAATTGATTTCTTGAAAACTGCCATATTAAAGTCTCTATTTTAACTTGGCAATTAAAGAAAAACAAATAACGATCTTTTAGGCATTTTTCTGAAGGGGATTTTCATAAAAATTGTGAGAGTCCAAACATATTAGCCAATTAACAAGTATACGAACGCAACCAAATAATACAACGTTTAATTTTAACGTTACAGACGTTTGATATATAATATATATCTTTCTATCCAGAAGTGATTAACACAATTATTAGTACTTTAAAAAAAGATATCTGATAGATTTTTCTATCTTGCAAATATCTTTATTCTTAATATTTTAATTCTGAAATAACTTACTTTTTGGAAATGTGGTAATGTAAATTCCCAGTAGTCTACAAAGTTGTCAACTGGACGATATTTAGAATACCCATTACCCAGTTACAACTCTGTAAAAGTTTTACGTTAAAATAATTTTGTACAAAATATTTTGAAGTAATTTCACAACTAAATAACGTTGCAACGTTATGTTGAGGTTTTTAAACAAAGGCCTACCTTAACTACAAGGTTCATGAACGTTAAATTGTGCTGGCAATGTCTTTCCAAAATGTAGTTCCATAATGAAGTATTCCACCGTGACCATCCTAACAAAATTAAATCAAATCAAATTTTTGACTTGTTTTTACCAATGTATGTGCATTCATGTTGCTATAGTTTTATTAATAATTCATACCTGAACATTTAACTAATAAATACAAATATATTTTAAAAACCTTTTTATATTATCAGAGAAAGTGAATTAGAATTCACTCCTCCTTGATTAACTTCATTTTATTTTACAAAAAAAAAAAGATGATCCATTACAACTTGTGAGATTCGTGCATATACTGTATGCTGTTATCTATCTGAAGACGAAATAGAGTGAAATATAATCATAATTTTTAATGTTTCTAGCTTCATCTTAACAGCAATAATATACAAAGGGGGTATACGGATGAGCCCTGTTGGTAAAGAAAAATCTAACCATCATTAATTATTAGTTATAACGCATATTTCATATCAATTAGGATTTTTTTGATGATGAATTCGCCAAACCATCGTTATCTTTACATTTTATTACTTTACTATACTGCTTTTGTTCTCGTTAGCATTATTTTTTTCATGGCTATTGCTTGCTTATATTGTTATTGCTATTGTTGTTATTTTATTGTTATTATTGTTAATACTATTGTTGTTATCGTCATTATTATTTAAGTGCAGCACGATAACACTTTAACAATCTACAGTTAATGATATTTTTATGATTTCTTTTGTTTAGATATGCAACACCGACTTGTCGGTATTAATCACCTTGATACACTAACACATAATCAAGTGAATAAAAGAGCGACGATTAAACCAAAGAAAAACCTGTGGCCGGCAGGAAGAATACCTTACATACTGGACCCAGACTTTAGTAAGTTGAAAAGGGGTGTGTAAAACAACGAAAGTGCATTCGAAAGGCACTTTTGACGCGTAAGATGGTGAATAATTGAGCCAAAATTTCAAGCGCATATACATTGCTTTTGTACCTTGTATACGATAGTGATTTACACATGGTACCGCGATTTCTTAGTCTTAATCTTTTCTCGTATGGAAAGCGCTGGTACGACTATTTTTTCATTTAAAGTGATTGTGTGCGCATAGTGCCTAAAAACATTTGCGCATGGTACTACTGTTGAAATGTAATAATTTGCGCGTATCACCATTTCTATCAGATTGCAAATAGAAAGGAGATATTTGCATTTACAGACACATGTGGTTTTTCCCATATCAAAACTGTATGTCATCGAAATCTCATTACGGCCCACGAAATATGTAATTTAAACTGTTACCATAAAAAGTACTATTCATTTTCAATAATCATTAACATCATTTTTTGTTACTTTTGTTGTCATTATAAGGCGAGGAAAAAACACGTAATATACATGAAGCCATGCAAAATTGGGAGAATCGAACTTGCATAAGGTTCGTTCAACGAGAACCGGATGATCAAGATTACGTATACTTCGAAGAACACCATTCAAGGTATCGTTAATCAATTATTTTTATCATGATCTATTGCGAGGTAGGGCCTAATGCATTTACAGATATTTTCATACAAATGCATACATGTTTTAAAGTGATACCGTCATGAATTGATGTTTTGTTATAAATCAGTCCAGAATTAATCGTTTCTTATGTATATATGCATTTTCATTTAGGGGTGGCGCCAGTGGGTGGGAGGGGGTTGTGGCCCATCTGTCGGGAAATTACCCTGTCGAGGAAATGCTGACCCCACCGCTGTTTACAATCAACTTTAACGAGTATAGGACTCAATCTGTGAAAACAATGCTTCTCATTGAAAAATAGACATCCATGATTTTCAACCATTCCCTGCGACGCAATGTGTACACATTTATAATGTAAACGCAGCGTAATATAGTGTAGGCCTACTCATGCTTAATGGGCATTGGCTAGTTAAAGAGCAATAATAATGCCTGGGCATGCCACAATAGACGCTCATTACTGACAGAGATTCGTCACTGAATATTGTATTTGTCGATATTAACAACTTTGACATGATAATCCATATTGAATGAATTGTGTCTGAATTTTCTTATAGGTGTGAAACAAAGACTGGCCGCACTAGAGGAAAACAGATTACCTATTTAGGCGCATGCGCACGAAATGTTGGAAATATAATGCATGAGCTGGGACACATAATAGGATTTTACCACGAACAGGTAACTTACTATCTACGTGAAAAGTTTTATAAAAAGGTGTGAATTCATATTTCTACAGAGAGAAAACAAGGACGGGGGCACTGGTTTCAGTATTATTCTTTAGTTATTCAATTGTGTAAAGTAATCAAAACAGGAAGGGAATATTGTATTGCACCATCTTTTCCCACAAAGACTTCTCTTAACTACTCCATAGGGGCGTTATATTTACTTTGGAAAACTATAATAAATAATTATTTACAACTCATATATGTTAATATATTAGACTCAGTGTATTTCGTTTATATTGAAAAAATATGAATATTGAATATACGAAAATTTAAATTATTTTTACTATTTTTAGTATTATAGTATCATTAATGCTAGAGATAATATTATTCTAGAGTAATGATTTGAACCTAAAGGTACGTGGTACCCGAGACTTTTCGTAACCCGTTTTTTTTTTAGTGATTCTGCCTCGGACTTTTCTTTTTACTTGTAATGACGTGGTTATGAGAAGTTCCGAGTTGACGAATTTTCTGTCATTCAAAAAGTACTGAACAGAAGAGGGAGCCATTACTTTTCTGCAAAAAACTAAATGCGTGAATTCTTAAACGTCTAATGCATAAAGTAATCAAAACAGGAAGGGAATATTGTATTGCACCATCTTTTCCCACAAAGACTTCTCTTAACTACCCCATAGGGGCGTTATATTTACTTTGGAAAACTATAATAAATAATTATTTACAACTCATATACCGGTATGTTAATATATTAGACTCAGTGTATTTCGTTTATATTGAAAAAATATGAATATTGAATATACGAAAATTTAAATTATTTTTACTATTTTTAGTATTATAGTATCATTAATGCTAGAGATAATATTATTCTAGAGTAATGATTTGAACCTAAAGGTACGTGGTACCCGAGACTTTTCGTAACCCGTTTTTTTTGTAGTGATTCTGCCTCGGACTTTTCTTTTTACTTGTAATGACGTGGTTATGAGAAGTTCCGAGTTGACGAATTTTCTGTCATTCAAAAAATACTGAACAGAAGAGGGAGCCATTACTTTTCTGCAAAAAACTAAATGCGTGAATTCTTAAACGTCTAATGCATTTTTATACCAATATTAACATCTAATTGTCAGTGTTCTACAATCAGTGCCAAAATTGCTAATATTCCCAGTTAGGCGTATTAGAATTCATACTGTAAGAAAATATGGTGGCCTAAAGAATAAACAATAACGATTGTGATTAATATATAGGAAAAAGAAATATTTTACGGAATTGCTAATTTATCAGAAACTAATAGGGTTAGCTTACAAAAAACAAAATTTAAAAATAGCCAATTTAAAAATCGAGACCCTTATACAAACATTAAGACAAGAAATAAATATCTTTGTATTTTTGTATTTCTAACTGTATTATATTTATGATTAGTAATATATCAGTTGAAAGCTACAAAGTAAACAATTTATCTTTACTGCTTAAATAGCACATTTGATTTCATTCACCAGAACCGTCCAGACAGGGATAAATATATAAAAGTACTTGTTGATAATATTGATGCGTCGAAACTACCAAATTATCGAAAATACTCCAGAAGTGAAACACGAACAATCGGTTTTGCATACGACTATGAAAGCATAATGCATTATAGTAATAACGCGTTCTCAAATGGTAATGGACCGACGTTCAAGATTAAGAAAATTGCATCTGGTTTTAACTTCACAGTGGGCCAACGCAGACGAGTCAGTGACCTAGATGTAGCCCAAGTGAGAGAAATGTATAAATGCAACAAATTATCCGTTAACGGTAAGTTGATCAATATAGGCAATGTTCAAATATAAATAATATAATAATAAGTAATAACGCTGAAGCATAAAAGTTCGATATTGCCAGCCAATATCGTACTATATATATA